CTCATATCACATAGAAAAAATTGGTACATAGAATGAACACAATAAATATTTGTTACTTTAATCAGAAAACATGTAAAATTTTCAACTCTGAAGGCACGAACAGTTCTTTTATGCACACATTGAATACAAAATCTATTCAATTGTGTGAATCCTTTGTCTATCTAATCTGAGAATGAAGCTTCTGGCTAAATTTTACTGCAAGATCAAATTTCTTTTCAATAACAAAGGCTCTCTCTTGCTCTCATTGGAGTGAAAGCACTTGGAGTTATATATAAGAATCTGTATATTTTCTAAATTAATAACATCCTGACACCCTGTGGAAGTGCCGGAGGTGGATTTCCTTTAGACTGATAGACTGTCAGTGATTTAGTTTAGCTACTACTGTGCCAGAAAATAACAAATCCATTACTAAGCAGCATGTCCTGATTTCATAGTTTAAGAAATTGAAACAAAAAAGAATTTGGAGCAAGATAACTGAATTGGAATGAAAGAAAATAACATCTCAAACATCTCACCATATGATTGAAAGACAATGTATTTAACATGACATACTTGAAGAGACTGTAACAGAATTTTAAATTTTAGACATACATTTTAACTATAGGTGGTGATGTGTACTAGTTTCTTTAAGCTAAAAAAAACATACATAAAATGTTGGATTTTACTCTTTATATATTTATGCTAATATTGATATATCAGAATTTCCATAAGTTTTAGTTTTTTCAAATGCAGACCAGACTTTTGCTTTTAATAGGGAAACAGCTGTTAACGGATACATTTAAAGAAACTTGACTCATAGTTTTAGAAGAGAAAATTCAGAGTCCTTAAAGCATTTGAATAATTTAACTCAGTGTGTATTTTTGGTGCTTTGTTTCAATAACAGAATTGCCAAATCTTTTTCACATTTATCATTCCATTTGAATCTCAAAATAACCCTCTGAGAAAGTAACATTACTCCCATTTTCCAATGAGGTCACTGGGACTCAAAAGCATTAAAACGATCTTTCTGAGCCACTAACTGAGATTGTATATGCATAGAATACATATACAAGGTATATGCCTTATACCTTGCATTCCTGTATAATTTTTATTCTGGTCTGCTCTGTTTTGCTTCATACTATGTAGCTTGTTTTGCGTTGAGCACTGGGAATTATACAAAGATTAAAAACAAAAACAAACATACCATTGTATTTGGTTCATTTGACAAAATATATTTAAATGATTAATGTTTACAAATGTGCATATCAGTGCAGTGACTGTGGGGAGAAAATATTGGGTCGGTAAGAATATAAAGAAGATTATCCAACTAATTTTAATAGACCTGTCTTAAATTCTTAACCTCCGTATGTACAACTTGAGTAATAATTTGCTTCTTTAGAAATAAAGCAGAATAAATCAAGGTGGGTTTGGCCAAAAATAAAGGTCATTTACAATTATTTATTTATTTTAGAAAGGCAGATTGCCATCTGCAATACCTCATTTAGACGTGTCTGAAGTCTTAGAAGCCTGACTACCCTATGTTCTACTACAAATAAACCTTGATAACATGTTTGGAGGTTGTAGCAGGGGAGCACAGACATTCCTATACCCTTAACCAAAGAGCTGCCCTTCACTACTGGGAAAGGCTGTCTTTTTTGATTGAGGCTTCAGCAGGGACACAAATCAAGCAGTGAGTGAGGAAAGGGATACCTGCTTAGCCAGCTAGATCAGCCAAATCAGCTCTGGTGATTGATGAGGTGACAGATGCCATAGCCAGATTGTTATCACATTCTTAAAAATTATTAAAAAATGTACATAGACTTATCCCTGTTTCTTATCGATCTCTGACCAATATCCCATCTCTTGTCTATCCCTAAGCCTCACTCTACTCTCAACTTATTCCTGAGCCTCACATGAAATCTAGTCATCAGCCTATCCCTTATCTTATCGATCCTAACCATTAAGATAAGAACTGGCAATAGGAGTGTTTGACTTGTATAGTTCATATATTTTTTGGTTGTTTTTTTAAAATGTGAAACAAAACAGACTTGTCAAAATGTACTTACATAAAAATGCCTATGAGAAACAGTAGATTGCAAAATGTTATTGACATCAAGTCGACTATGTCAAAATTGTTAAAAGGTTGTCAGTTATTTGTCACTGTGTAATGAATTACCCCAAAACTTAACATGTTAGACACAATAAATAGTTATTTTCTCACAGTTTCTGTGGAAAATAAATTTCTCACAGTTTCTGTGGATACAGAATTTGCAAATGCTTTAGCTGAGTAGTTCCGGCAATTAAGCTGTCCTCTGGAATACGATCATCTGAAGGCTTGATTGAGGTGGGAGGATTCCTCTCCAAGATGACTTACTCAGATGGCTGTTAGCAGAAGGCCTCAGTTCCTTGCTTGATACAGGCAGAAGGTCTTTGTTTCTTATTATGAGGACCTCTCCATAGAACCACTTGAGTGTCTCACAATATGGTGGCTGTCTGCTCAGAACAGGTGATCCAAGCAATAGGGTAAAAGCAAGGCAGACACCACATCTTTTAGTCTTTTATAATCTAGCTTTGAGTGTCACAAACTTCTTCCACAATTAAAACAGTGTTGTTACAATGGTAATGAGTAGCCCAAAGCTATGAATACATGAAGGTGGAGAATCATTGGGCCTATTTTGGAAACTGGCCATCACAAGCTGTCATGTACTCTAAGAAGCACAGAAAAAATATGTTTGCCATTAGAGATAGTAATATTCTTCTATCAGAAAATCTTCAGTGAGTAGGAGGGGAAAACCTCTTTGAGAACACTTAAATCTTGTACTTCGGTTTGATGTTGAATTCTTCAGTGTGCTTTGAAACTGTCACCCTAGATCAGGGATCAAAAAACTATGGCTTGTGGGTCAACTGTGGCCTGAGGGCTGTTTTTGTATAATCAATGAGCTAAAAATATTTTTGATAAATTTAAAGAGCTATAGAAGAGGTAGATAGATGATAGCCATATGATAGATAGCTGTGTGATAGCTAGCTAATTAGCTAGATAGATGCAACAAAGATGATATGTAGGCTACAAAGTTTAAAACACTTAGTAGGTGACCCTAAAACAATTGCCAATCTTGTTAAAATCCATCAAAACACATACAAAATAACTAATAAAAAGAAGTTTTAATTCTGCTACATTGTGTGATAGGATATACAGAAATGGATAAAGATATTTCTCCCCTGCTAGAAGGTAGATCAACATGGTATACCAAACCCTTAGCTTCTCCACTTAATGATAATGAAAATTAAATATTTGGAGATGTCCTTATTCCAGCATATCCCAAACCACCAAAACTTAATCTTAGCTGCACACACACAAAAAATATTATCTGGTGAAATATATTCCAGAAATACCACATATCCTATGCTATTTTTGGAGATTCAGAACTTATTATAATAATAAATGATCTGATAAGTTCTTTAGTAATTCATTTTGATGACTTAATCCAGCATCTTCAAATTCCATTGTTCATGGACGATTTTTATTTTCATGTTAATATCTATTAACATCTATGTGTGTAACTGGAAAATATATGTCTTCATTGTTCCACTTCAGAGTACTCTAATGGGCTTCATTCAAACCCTAGTTATGCTAATATAAGTGTGAGAATCCTTTCCCATCATAATTGTAGATATCCACAGTTCTTTTGTGAGCTTGCAAGTGTCTCAGAAGTATTGTCTTGAGATAGCTTTACAGCAGAGCTGGATATCTGCTGAGTCTCTTAGAACAGGATGGTCTACCCTCTTATAGGAGATTGGCTCTTGAGGTCACTAAGGTCATACTAAGCCAAGTTCTTGTATGACTAAACCGATAGTTGTCTGGCACAGCTCTTGATAATGGGCAGTAGGCTGATAAAACCTCATTTGCCTCCTGGACACTTGTATAATGCTGTTTTACTGCATTCTCATGTTCTCAATTTCAGATAATTTTCCTGTCAACCCTATGTTTCAACAACTCTATGTTTCAACAAAACCCCAGTTGATTCAAATGCAGTGTTACTGACCAGCATATGAAAACATGAAGGTTTCAACAATCTGTTTCATAAGAATGCCAACTTTTGGTGATTTACAGAATTAAGTGCAGTTTTGGTATTTTTGTTTTATATTATACACACACATATATAGGTACATTATACACATGCATATTTTATATATTAAGCACAGATTAAAATGATACTTGATTATATGACAGATGCTCCTAGTGAAGGAAACATGTCAATTGCAAGTGAAATAATTGTGCTGATATTTTAGAGATAATCCTGAAACTACTCTAATGAACATAAAAGTGGAAACCATTCTTCAAACTTCAATGCTGTAGCTTCAAAAACTAGTGCTTTTGGGAGTATGCTGAAATTGACTTGTACAACTCACCAGAGCCGGTTGTAAACATCTCTTCCCAACTGCACCTTCAGAAGATTTACATGAGTAGCCCAAAACTGATCATAGGAGGAGTAGCTGCACAACAGAAATAACCAAATGATGTAAATGAGAACATTTTAAAACATGTATTAGCACACCACTGTTTGAGATGAGTATCAGCATTAATTGTGACACAATGATGTGCTATAACAACTGAGGCTGAGAATGGCCACTTCACTGTTGTTTGTTGTTTTGTTCTTGTTTTGGGAAAGGAATGCTATAGAAGATTAAGAATCACACCAACCTCAATACAAATTCTGTGGTTTTCACTTCCTGGCTTTGTGAGCTTTTGGAATTTATTTTGAGATTCAGTTTAACAATATAAAAAGGGCATGATAACATGAATTCCATGAAGAATCTGGGGGTACTGTAGATAGCTTTTGTAAATTGTGTTACATAGTACCGGGCACATGGTAGGCACTTCCATATGTGCTCACTACTATTATTATTCTCATCTCAACTCTAGTAGCAGTCAGCTCAAGTCCAAAGTAGGTTTTAATTTCTAGATTTCTGCATAGATGTCCTCATTGTTTCCCTTGCCTTCCTGCGTCAGCTGGCACAGTTCATTTTGTGCCCTCTTCATTGTGACTGTAGAGCTTCTCTAGGACTGCTGGCTCGAAGTCATATGTCCACGTGCTCTCAGATATCTGGAAGAGATCCTGCTCCAATGCAGTCTAGAACCAGGGATAAAGGTAGGAATGTAAGTAATTTTATGGTGAGAAACAACATTAGATTACTGCCTCACAATTTTATGCTGACCCCACTATGCCCACACAAACAGGTGCACTAATTCTTTCAATGGAAATATAAAATAAGGAGCAACGACAGATAAGGCACTTCAAATATGTTGAAGCAGCATATTGTCAAATATTTTGAAGGTTCTCTTGGGAAGGTTTAGAATTACATATTTACATAATTATAACTTCTATAAGAAAAAGTCACAGATCCTTAAGTTATAATCTGACCTTAGGCATGTCGAAAATCTAGAACAAAGTTTTCAGGGTTTTTTTCCACCAGAGGCTGCATTGTTGACCCACCTGTACTAGCTAACCTGAAGGTATTTGCTGTCAGTTGTAACAAGAATTGATTCCCCTCCAGTCAATAGACATTTCCTAATTGCCTGTGTGCATTTTAACTTCAATTTCCTTCTCTGAAAATGCAAATAAATTATTTTAGGCTTCAGGGAGATTATTTGAGATGTAATTGTTATTTTCCAGCCTGGCTGTGCTGCTGTTTATTTTTATGGAACTATACAAACACAGGTGTGTATTTGCTGATATTTTGCTTATTTGGATGAGAAAATAGGAATCATTTCCATAATAGCACAGTTTTGCAAGCTCTGGGGACCAGAACTGGATTTTAGTCACCTTTCTATTGCCTTTATATCTGAGCAGAGTGCCTTGTACGGGAAGGTGCTGAGTAAATATTGGCTGTATTGAATCATTATTTATGCCTCAGATGTCCTGAGAGAAGAGACTCCTGTTACATTGAAATCCATCATCTAAGATCCTAAGTGCATTGTCATCATTTGAAACACAATGAAATTTCATGATGAGGTTATTATTTTACAAGGTCATTAGACAATAAAGTAAATGTTTTTTTTGGTGTTCACAGTACTTGTCTGGATTCCCATACCTGCATACCTCTACTGTAGACAGATATGATGACTGTCTCCTACCTTGACCCTGATTCTGGCCCTTAGCATGAAGCATATCAGGAACATTTGTTTTAGTCAAGATGGCTTAGTGTTCATAGCCATTTTGGTTGATGTCTTAAATTTTCTGCCAAGACTCTGCCTGAGTTTTAATCCTCATTACTTATTATCTCTGAATCCCTGTTAATAAGTTTTTCTGAGTATGATGAATTCCTTCCCTCCCTCCTTCCTTCCTTCCTTTCTTCCTTCCTTCCTTCCTTCCCTCCTTCCTCTTTCCAGACCATATCAGAACACTTATAAATGCCCCAGCCTTATATGAAAAACTACACATTCAGTAAGAAATGATACAACATTGCCATCTTTAAAGAGCAATATGTCTTAAAAAATACAACAAAATGATTAGCTTGAATATAACATTGTGCGACATATTCCTGCTTTTACAGAAAGGTAAATATATTGGAAAAGTATTGGTGTTGCTACATTTTGACACATGAATTAGTTTGCTGGAGTTGCCATGACAAGATACCACAGACTGGGTAGCTTAAACAAAAGAAATTTATTTCTTAACAGTTCTGGAGGCTAGAAGGGCAAGATCAAGGTGTCAGCATAGTTGGTTTCTTATGGCGGTGCTTCTTGGCTTGTAGATGGCTAGCCCATGGTTTTACCTCTATTTGTGTCTGCCTTCTAATCTTCTCTTCTACCAGTCATATTGGATTAGGGCCCATCCTTATGAACTCATTTTACCTTCATTATCTCTTTAAAGGTCCTGTGTCCAAATGGAGTCATATTTTAAAATAGTGGGGGTTAGGACTTCAACATATGAATTTTAAGGGGACACAAGTCAGCTCATAATAACCTAAAATAAATTCAGCCTCAGAGATATTGTGTAACCTTCCAAGTCATTCTAGTAAGTAAATGGTAGAACTAGGATGTAACCTAATGCCTACATAATTCTAGAGTTCACATTCTTTCTACTCTGCTCTATTGCCTCTCCAAACTCCTACTACCGAACTATTGAATTTGGATTCTGTTTCTTATTCCCCACCATTTTCTCTTCACAAAAATGGTTTAGCCCCAGTGGTCCCTAAGCCTTCCACTTGATTTTCTGAGCCCATGAAAATCTGACTTTGTGTATCTGATTATATCTTAAATTTTTTACCAATATTATTGTGCTTGTACTAGTCTTCCTCTATTTCAGATCAGATCTGCTGTCAGAGATATCTACTGCTTACAAATACACATGTGCTCCTCCATATATTCTAGCTTCATTGTAGTTAGGCAGGGGCCATGTAGGTCTTTCTAGGCTGTAGGATATCAGAAATAATGTGTGATTCTTTTTGTGCCTATTAAGAACCTTTATGGCAAGCTCCCACTTTTGCTTTCTCTTCCCCTGCTCTGGAGACTTTAATCTACATGTTGAGATAATAACATTGTTGAGATCAAATATGCCTGGATTTTTGAATCACTGCATGGGGGACAACTGCTTTAATTTACGTGTCCTCCATTAAGATGAGGGAGAGCAAAAAATACAACACTGCTGCATTAAACTAGTAATATTTTTGGATTAATTTGTTACCACTGCATAGACTCATCTATCCTAATGTAGACCAGTCATATTGAAATTGTGTTGCCTTGCGATTCTCCCATGAATCACTGATCCCCAGAGTGTCTGAAGTTATCATCCTTACCTGTTATACTGGACCGAGCATAGAAAGTTAGCACCAAGACAAAAGTATGCCAGATTGCAGGGTCATTTATTATGCCGGCGACCACAGAGGACTCATGTCTCTCCAACCTGTGGTGTCAAAAGGAGGGTGCCAAGACTTTTTATACCCGAAAAACCACCTTGGGAGTGGGGATGAGGAGCGGGGATGGGGATGAAAAGGCTTCAGACATTCCGAGGGCTAGTGGATTCTGTAAATCACCTCCTGGGCGGAGACCAGGACTCCGGATATTCCAAGGGCCAGGGGACTTTTGTCATTCCGTTTGTTACTTAAGTGGTTTACAGAAGTCAAGATAAACATTTGTTTACACATTATCTGGGTAAGGTGGAAATCACAGACCTTAGTTACTTATTACAAGTCGCAGGAGCCAAGATGGCATGGGTTAGGACTGCTTGCCTGTCACATTAGGGCCACAGAGAGCAGTTACTGATAAGCAAAGTTTAAGCAGCTTCACATAGTGGGCATTTTTCAGAGCAAGCTAGCAGCTTTATTTACAGAAGCCAAAGACAGCTTTACCTTATAAAATGGCGTTGCTCAGGTTCTGGCACTAGGTCAGCACAATATCACATACCTAGAGAAAGAAAACAGTCGTATGTCTTCCCTGCCCATAAATTTTTGTTTTTCCCAACTGCAATGACCATCAGAACACTCTGATATAATTGGACTGCCACTTCCAGTCCTGCCTTGGTTTGCTGCCACCCAAACTCCCAAGTCTGAAAGTAGGGCACATCCCTATATCTGGGTGCTCTGTGTCCTGATTCCTCTACTATACTGGCGTTTCGAGTTGCTTTAAAACTCAGCCAAAACTGGTCTCGAAAAATACAGCTTTAAAAAAAAAATCCTCAGTTGTTAATTTAGTGGGACTGAAATTATGTTAGCTCATTGAAATTTCATTGCTAATGGGTTATAAGATCGTAGGAACTACAGATCCAGCATCTGTCTCTTTTTAGTGTCTCAATTATCACCACAATAATTTAATGACATCCTGTTGAAGAAGCATATTTGACATGCTAATGAATGGCATCCTGCTCATTTCCATGAACTTCACATTCCCTAGGTGATAATTTAAAGCCAGGCATTTTAGATTTGTATCATCCCATGGCCACACTGACTTAAAGGTTGACCAAAATGATACACTAAAAAATGCTTAACACTGAATTGCAAATGTCTTAAACTGTAGTCTCTTATAATTTTATAAATATGCTTCAAAATTGAGACAAGCCAAGAGAATCCTAATATTTACATTATTATCTAATTTAATCATGACCCTTTTGTATTCATGCTTGCCTGTTTGGCTATTTCATCTGTGCCTAATCAAGGACCCCATCTGTAATATTTTGCTTGTTTAATTAGCTTTTATTTTCTTTATGTTTTGTTTTTTCAGATTGTACTATATTATTTGCTTTCTTAAATTTTATGTAATCTATTTGACACACACTTACAATAACTTCTGATTTTATTTGTATTAAAATTTAAATAGCAACAGCCTAAATCTAATTTCTAGCCTCATAAAATTATTTTTAGAAAAAAGAAAATCTAAACAAATATGTACATATATTTAATGTTCAATTCATTAAATCAAATAACAAGAAATATGTTTTATTCTGAGATTTATAACTGAATTTAGATATACAAAATCATTTTGAGGTTTTTGCTTGTTTGATCAGTATTAAAAAAAGATTATTTGCTCACAAGACACTGGTATTATTTTTTTAAGCACAGTTCTATACCTAAGTCACCACTATGATTAATTTAATGTGGAATTTTTTAGTCTTTGCAAAATAAAGGTTTGTGTGGTCCAAAGAAAATGTAACCAAAAACCAGAAACCACAAAGTGAGAGAGTTAGGTTGGAAATAAGTAAGCATTTATTGATGATGAAGTTCAATCAGTTCTACTGTGATATTGTGCCAGAATTGCTAGCCTTTGCTTTAGTTATTTAGTAATAACTAAAATAAGCAGCCCAGGATAACTAAGATCTGTGTGTAAACAAATGCTTATCTTGACTTCTGTAAACCACTGAAGTAACAAACAGAATGACAAAAGTCCCCTGGCCCTTGGAATGTCCGGAGACCCCCGCCCTCATCTCCACCCAGGAGGTGAATTACAGAATCCCCTGGACCTTGGAATGTCCGGAGACCCCCGCCCTCGTCTCCGCCCAGGAGGTGAATCACAGAATCCCCTAGCCCTTGGAATGTCCAAAACCTTTTCATCCCCATCCCCACTCCTCACCCCCATTCCCAAGGTGGTTTTTCGGGTATAAAAAGTCTTGGCACCCTCCTTTTGACGCCACAGGTT